TTTTTGCACCTGCATATGCCCTGTGCACTATAAGTCATCGTTTCTCTCTTTCTTTTTATTTTCTCATGGGCCCTGTTGTCACCTTGTGTATGAACATCGAGTCGATGCTCTAATGGGAGGGGGAATAATGCCACCCAGAGTTGTGAGCCGGCAAGCCCTAGCGAGCTGAAAAGGGAAAAGAGAACAAAGAAGTGTGTATTAGCGCTTCGTTGAAAGATACACGCTCGTGTCTTTCCGCCCCGCTGTTCCTGTCTTGTCTTCACGGCTCTTGGTGCGTGACAATATAAATAACTAAGGATGTAAGATAAGGGGATACGATATTCCAAATGCTAATATCGCGTGCTTACAGGTTTTCAGACGCCTGGAATGCGAGGCAGATAGGAATACGATGTATTGGAGTGTTCTTGGTAATCTGCACTTCGCGCAATTGCGGAGTTACTCAGGGGAGAACTGCAAATCATGATTACTGAATTGGACTGGAGAGCTAAAAGGTAGGTCCTAAAGTTATCTGCAGAAAATTGAAGCAATGTACAACAACCTCGGAAGACAACAGCGCTTTGGGGTAGCTAGCCGTGTATTTGAAGTAGTAAAATAGTACGTCTACGTAAGACAGGTGGTATCAGCAGAGCCCGACCCAAAGATTGGAGTAACTAGAACAATAATATTGTAGTGAAGCCCACTTGGCAAACATTCTCAAATCATGAATGGCAAATTGCCACTATCCCCAAGGGGAAGGTATACGTATAAGATGTGCATATAACCGATACTTAACTACGGAGAAGAACCTGGGAGGTTACCAAGAAGGTTCAACTCAAGTTGAGAACGACGCAGCGAGCAATGGAAAGAAAAATGAAAGGTTTAACTTTAGGGGACAAGAAGACAGCAGTGTGTGTCAAGGAAAAAACGGACGTTAAGGACATCACCATCAAAATGAAGAAGAATTGGTGATAGGTAAAGCACGCAGCATGAAGGCAGGATAACTGCTGTTAATTAGGGATCACAGACATGATTCGAAGTGAAGGCAAATGGGTGGGTGGGAGACAAAAATTTTGTGAGCAGATGAGATTAGGAAGTTTGTGCTTATAAAGTGGCAACAGAAAGCACAGGACCGAGTTGACTAGAGGAACATGGGAGATGCTTCTCTTTTGCATTGGACATAGTCAGACTAATGATGATGAAGAAGATGATGATGATGATTAGTTCTTCAAACAAAAAGTTGGAGCACTTAAGTTAGGTTCGATACCAGTATATTTATACCTCAAATATTCCCCTTCAGTAACTTCCTCGTACCAGGATATCTTACGAAGCTTAAGTACTCGCATGCCTTTGTGACCTAACTAAATGCTGGAGGCTCAAGCACTGCCCGATTTTTGCGCATGTTGAAAACACCCCGTCTGGTCAAGGTTATAAGCAGTTCTCCCCTCAGATGTATGAGATGTCCACGTTGTTTACGTAGTCCACGACGAACTAGGATGCCCCACAATGTCTCCATTACGATGTCTCTGAGAGCCGGAGCCACCTTGAAACGTTAGGCCTCATACCAAACAAAACAGCGCGCTGTTTTTTTTTCTGTAAATGTTTCAAGGTTACAGTACTGACAAAAAATGGACGCATATTTAAAACAGCTACATGCAATGAATCGGCATGATGTCTAGTTGTAGTATATATTTCACTCATCACATTGCGAGTATAGTTCTTGTCTCTGATTATTTTTTTCCTATATGTCGTGCTCTTTGATATGCCATTCCTATGCATGCTTGACATATCAGTTATCATTCCTTTATTGGTTCGTATGTACCATTTATTTCAGTTGCTTGTACCAGTCTAAACCTAAATTAACAATATTGATCGTGTTTTATTGTTTCTTTACTTCGTGTATTCTGATATCTGCCTTTGCTAGGTTGCCTCAAAGGGGCCCTGCGATACTTTCTGAGAACAGTCAGAAAAACCTGCCGAGTGGTATTCGTGGCTTCGAAGAGCACGTGAGCCAAATACCAAAGAGCAGCATGTGGCCTAGAATTTACAGTAAATTTTTAAAGTCTATAAAAATTCCTTTCTCCTTTCACGAGAAAGAATGATACATGCTCAAAAAATCACTCGTTCGAGCCACTGCGTCATCCATTGGACCGATTTGCATAGAGTTAATATACTACTCAGGAGACAAAGCCCCCTTTGGGCCCATGCATTAGAACCCCTAACCACATGAGTGCCGCCATGATTGGAACTATGCTCAGCTTTCGGGTGGTCTCAGCCCCACTCGCCAGTGCCTGCAGCAATCAGCCCTGTCATTTTTACCCGCTTTGTAGCTCTCTGTCTTATTACAGAGACTGCCACAAGGCTGACTTGCTGCCTCGTGTCAACAAAACACATGGACGACGAGACACTATGGTTCACCCGATGCGCGAGCTAGCCGGCACAATCGGCCGTGCAGCTGCACCCCCGCTATAATATTGATACGATACGAGGAAAATGGCGCCACCTAGTAACATAAACTTCAAATGGTTTTTCCGCGCACTTTTATTTACAAGTAAATCACATAAACCACCATTGGATCTTCGGTGAAAGTATTTGTTAAAAGCATCAGACAATTTGCGTTTATTTATATTCGTGATCACGCTTGTATCTAATACATATTGCGAAAATTTGATTGCTTTAAACTATAGCTTACTATGTTTAGCGTTCTTCTAAAGTATTGCGATGACAATAATGCCATCGTTCCGAGATGTCAGCGCTTTGGTGGTTATAGCTCTTCCGGCCCAGCTTTGCATCTATAATGTGTGTTGAATTAACTGCACGCTGACTTAAGCATGGCACTGCTAGGTCATCACCGGGGCCGCCGCAGGAGGCTGCGAGTTGTCCACGCGTGAATGCACGATCGCACCTAAAAGTCCCTTATTCGAAGAATAAAAACACGTGGTTGATCATTCTTTTAGGAATCAGCATAACACAAAAGTGAAACGTGTCTTCCTAGGGGTAGTTGAGCATTCATCGGGCATTGTTTCACCACAAGGTCGAAGGAATGAGTGCTGCAGTAACAAATTGCAATGTCATGCGAGGAACGGCAAGCAGCTCGTAATATTCAGCGCGCACCTCGAGCATAAAACAAGCACGAAATGAACATAGAGAGGATGAGCGGAGACAAACAATTGTCACACCTCGGCACATTAAGCAGGCTGCTCAAACAGAAAGACAGACGAACAAAATGAACGCACAGGTATACACTGGTCGAGTGCAAACAACGGTCCCAATTCTTGCTTCTTCGTGTGTGAGCAGTGCGCTCCTTTTGTAAACGCGGGTGCGGCAGCGAGCGAAAAGACGTTCGTGCTCTCCTTAGCTGTATATTGCTTGATAGCGAACTTGCGGCGCAAGCAGAAGAGCTGGAACTCACCTGAATACAGAGATAAACACGTGCGCGGGCAAGCCACTACACAGAGAACATCTATACGCACTTTGACCACGCCTTGCGGAGGCGCGCGCGCACAGCGATGCGCTAGATGGCGTCGCACGACGACCTTTACGAGCGCGTGCGCCACACGCACGCCCATCATGACATATCGCTACTGATGACCAAAACGCGCTGCAGCAGCCCAGCTCTGAGGACTGCCAGTGGCAAAAGGTTTGTATAAATTGCGTGCCATTCACATGTCGGAGAAAGGCCAATTTGTGGCATAGTGGTCAGTGTCGCACTCAGAGGAGCGCGAAGTCACTGGGTCAACGCCCCGCTGCATAGCTTTTCGTTCTCGTTTTTTTTTCTTCTTCGCTATCTGTTAGTAAATGCATTGCAACGTCATATCAGTGACAGAAATGCATCGCGGAGCCGTGGTGAACGCAGCTTAAAACAATTTCCTATTAAAAGAGAAAAAGTGCTCAAGCCCACGAAGCACCCATGACGTATTTGCTGTCCCCGTGCCATCCCTCCCTGCTTTGCTTTTTTACATTTCTCGGGCAAAAGAAAAGAGAATGCAGTTATAGCGTCAGACAAATTCTTGCAACTGCACTCGTATACGAATTCTAATAAAATGGCGGTGGTAAATTCGTGAGGCAATGAGTTCTTTTAGTGAATACATTACATGGCTTCTTGAACAAGTTTTGCAGGGCGCGTTTACCGTATTGCTGCGCATAGCGCTTCTGTTTTAATCAATATTTTTGTTACTTCCCATTTTAAAGAACTAGTGAATCAATGCTCATTTTATTAGTTAGCGCGAGGACCTGCCAGTCTTTCTTGTGCCATTTGCCCGCACTGTTTCATGCTTTGAAGAAAAACAAGCGTCCTACAGGCTTCACATTAAAACATGTAATATCGCAGTAATACTGCGTGGTAGAAGCGATCAGCCGTCGGAACATATGATTATCATAAATACTTCGTGGCTGAACTCTGGTTAGCTATTACAAAGGGCAAATACGTCACTGCGCGTATTCTTATTTCACGTGCATAATTACTCCTTGTTTAGTTACCCATAACTACCCACTACATACAATGCAGCCATATGCGAAAGCTTGACTGACAGAAGCTACTTTCAACATTATCGATGACATTGCAGTAATCCACAATTCAAACAGCTCGAGTAACATCATACAATAAAACTACGCACTAGCGACAAAATATCGCGTTCGGCTCTAAAAGAGAAACTGAAGTCTCTCCCAATTTCTGATGTAACAATTACTATTTTGGGAAAATCCGGATGGAAAGTCCCCTTGGCATTCTGTAATTCTGCAACCTCCACCTGTATAGATGAATAGATATAATGAATGATGAATGGTGCAAATGATAACCATCATGAGCAAAGAAATGGCCAGCACTAAACCTGTGCGGTATAGAATTTCAGCCGTGGTGGTCACCTTTCTAATGTTGTTGAAATGCCTGAGGCCCGTGTACTTAAATTGAGGTACACGTTAAAGAAACCCAGGTCGTCGAATCTTCCGGAGCCTCTCACTACGGTGTCTCTCATAATAGTATCATTGTTTAGGAATGCTAAATCCAAACAATTATCGAACTATACCTGCGTGGTGTGTACTGGTAGCCCAGATCACGCCACTTGGAGGCGCGGCAGTTATATGTGAGCAAGCGGTTGGTGGCGAACTCGGTCCATCCGCCGAAGACAAAGATGGCGTTCTTGGGAATGCGAGGCTTCAGCCATGTCCTATGGGACAGGTCTACGCCGGCAACTTCACCAACTGCCGTAGAGTTGCTGGTCAGTGACTGCGTAGTGAAAACTGCCTTTAATAGCAGGCATGCCAAAATATTGTAGAAGAACACATTATATATATATATATATATATATATATATATATATATATATATATATATATATATATATATATATATATATATATATATATATTAGCTAGTCACGTTTCGCTGATGGCAGCCATGTACCATCACGTGGCATGCAGTTTAACAGCGTCAATTGTTTATTGTGTGAGGACACAATGACCCGCGAGGTGAAGCACAGTTGTCCAGCAACTAGCTGGAAGTAGATTTAACGTATCATCATCACTGCACGTGCCCATATAACGTTCAAGTAATTATTACAAGTCGTGACCGTTTCAATACTATTGTTCCAATGTTGTTACTGCCGTTAGCGAGCACATTTCTATGAGCTGGTGGTTATTTGTTAAGTATCAGAAGAATTCGAAAGTGTTCTCTAACACCAGTCGTTCGTGAAGCCCGAAACAAAGTCGCTTCGCTACAATGACGAGTGAATGAGTGAGACAGCAGTAAATATAAATGTCATTACTGGGAATGCTAACAAATGCTAACAACTAACGCGTTTAACAACGACTCGACGTAACTCAACGAACACCGGCATGAGGTAACCGGATTGGTAACGCGAGCAATCAACGTTCACGTTTTACGTCGCTTCTCTGCAGATTGAGCGATAAGAACACACCACGTAAACACTCCGCCTGCTGATGTCCCTGATAGACCTCGCGTGACCGAACACCCACCAATAAAAGTGCACAGTTCCAACAGGTTATACACAGTCCTACGTCAAGAACCTCCATAATGCTTTCATGGTAGATGACCAGCGTGTTTCCTCTCTGCTTAAGCCGCGATCGTAAACTGTTCTCGCATGCTTTTACTATTACATAGGACATGCGACGTGCTGGGCACTAGGAGTTATACGAAACCTCAGAGCAACGGACAAGGCCAAAATCAATTTAAGATGTTATAATTACAAATACAGGTAAAATTGCTTTTTAGTGGCAATGTCTGAAATCTTGATTTAGTTTGTTTTGATAGCACATGACGCATTCAGCGCGCGGCTGACTGCGTGTCTAGAGTAGGTATTTATTGTTACTTTTCACAAGAAATTAAGTGCCTGTTGTGGCGACAGTAGCTGACCCGGTGGATCGCATTCAGCACTTTGAGGGCATCTGCGTCTTGTTGGACTTCTCGGTTGACGGCAACTTTTTCCAGGTCTCTGCAACAAGCAGGAAGTGATGGCGTGGCTTTTACAACAATATCATCTGGTACTTAAAGGGACACTATAACAACTATATTAAGTCGACGTTGATTGTTGAAATAGCGGTCCGGAATCCTCGTAGTATTACTTTTGTTCCAAGAAAGGGTTTATTTTGAAACAAAATCACGTTTTAGTGGTACGCATTGGATTGGCGTACTTCAAATTACCCGGCTAAACGAAATGTCTGGCGTCACTGTTGCCGTGTACAACGTTGGCTGGCTTTAATGCGTGATCACCGACACTATTGTAGCAGCAGGGAGAAACAAAACGGGAGCTACAGCAGAAGCAACAGTGATTGAAGAATTTCTAGCAACGGCCTTCATTATTGCTGGCGTGATTGGCTAAACTGGGCCTGGCTACCATCCACGTGCACCCGGGTGTTCAAAGATTGATTCGTGGATAGCTACCGGCGGCATGCATGAGACACTAAAGAGACAATACGCAACGAGAAAATCACTCCCAGGAACCAGGTCGAAACTTTGCACTCCGTGGGCGCTTGAAGCTCAAGACACTCCGAAGTGTTTAAGGACGAAGGTGGAACACAGGGAAACGTGCGAGTGAATCACAACCTTACAAAAAGATGATGGTCTTAACCTGATTGATATGTAGAGTTCAACTTCTCAAAACCACCATATGAGTATGAGAGACGCCATATTGAAGGGGTCCAGAAATTTCCACCAACTGGGGTTTTTTAACGTGCACCCAAGTTTGAGCGAACAATCCTACCACATTTTTGCCTCCATCGTAAATGCAGCCGTCCGCAGCTGCGATTCAATCCAGCAGCCGAGTACCCTAGCCACTAGACCACGGCGGCGAGGCAAAGATTGACGTAGCGCGTAAAGTAGGAGAAACACGGGACAAAGGAAGAGACAGAGGGGAGCGCTTGTCCCTTTCCTTGTACTGTTTCTCCTATTCTACGTGCTACGTCAATAATTACGTCTTACTACCACACCCAACTTTATACTCTAGAGGCAAAGATGTTTCAGTTATTTCAGCATGCTGCAACTCGCAAGTGCTAGCGAGCATCGCATGCCGGTTGGAGTTTGAGCAAGCACTCGGACGTGCTTTGCGTGAGGTCTAGATGCATTGAATTTGGGCATACACATAATCTCAAAGCAATGAAGTACAATGTACCTTGCGATAAGTGGTGCGAAGCTCGCTTTAACAAGCGCAAATGACCCCAGAGATTTTCGTCTTTGCATTTATATTGTCTGTTTATCTCACACTTCCTGTGCATAGGGCTGTTTTTTTACTTATCCTCGTGTGTTCTGTTGATGATTGTTCTCAGTTTTAATATTGTCACGACGCAGACACAGCAGAAGTCAGGATATAGAAGAGGTCACTTTATTTAAATGCAAGGCGCTCCTTAAGAGGACCGGGCAAGAACTTTTTTCTTTCTTGCTGCGCGAGCTCTTTTCTCTAGGTTGAATGCGGCATTTGCCTTCCTCCAGGAGGGCATTGTCCCGATGCTCCGCTACAAAATACGTGGTGTATGTAGTCGACGTATTATGCAACTGGCTTCATCCGCACAGCGTGTACGATTTTCAATTATTGCTGGCGAGTTTGCGAGGAACTGTCAGGGATGACCTGAGTCACTTAGGCACCGTACAACATTGTAGGGACCAACCTACTTCTTCGTTAACTTTCAGAAATGCCGCGTCGGCGAATAGGGCTGCAGACCCACACTTTCCGCCTGGTTTATAAGTGACGTATTGGTGTCGCAGGTTATAACACTGTGAGTCGTAACTCTGCTGCCGGGTGATTCACACGCGTGCTAGCTTCCGCGCCTCTTCAGCTCGTCGGGTGAAGGCTTGAGCATCCGTGTCTGTATCGTCGCAGTCGTGCAGCAACATGGCATCAAGCATTGTCTTACTTCAAGGCCATACAGAAGATTAAATGGCGTGCTTTGTGTAGTTTTCTGTTGCGCCGTATTATAGGCAAACGTCACGTATGGTAGAACGTCGATGTACATACTCAGCATATCAGCTATTGTCTTGTTGAGGCGTCCGGTTAAGCCGTTGGTTTGTGGGTGGTAAAAGGTAGTTTTCTGATGTGCTGTTCCACTGAGCTCCAGCACTGGCTTAAGGAGCATGGCCGTGAAAGTGGTACCCGTGTCCATTTAAAATCCTAGGAGCACCTTGCCTCAGAACGATATCTTCACCGAAAAATCGCGCCACTTCTATAGCAGTTCCGCTTGATACAGCCTTTGTTTCTGCGTAGCAAGTAAGATAGTCCGTAGCGACAATTATCCAATCGTTTCCAGTATGTGAAGTTGGAAATGGTCCAAGGAGGTCCTCCAACTTGTGCAAAAGGCATGGTGGGCACTTGAACTGTTTGCAACAATCTGGCTGGTTTGAAAGGTGGCGATTTTCGTCGATGACAATCGAGGCACGTGCAGACGTAATACTTTACAGTGCCAGGAAGCTTCGGCCAGTATTATTTCTGTTGGATTCTGGCCAATGTGCGCGTGTATTCGAGGTAGCCGGAGGTTGGCTCATCACGGCCAGTGCTCAGGATCTGATCGCGAATGGATGTCGGGATGACAAGTGGCCACTTCCACTGGAGGAAAAGTTCTTCTTATATAGCACACCACTGCGCAAGCAGAATGATGGCAAGCTGCATGTAAATACTTAGGGCACGTTTGTAGACTGACTGTTAAGAAAATTAGTAAACTGAAGCAGCTCGCTGCCTTTTTTCTGCTTAGACGAAATGGTGACCGTGTCGACCACTTCTAAAAACGCCATGTCATCCTTTTCGGAGACATTATCTTGCTTTACAGGTGACCTGGATAAGCAATCAGCATCGGAGTGCTGCCGTCTCGACCTATAGACGACCGTCAAATGGAACTCTTGTAGGCGCAAGCTCCAGTGCGCTAGTCGAAAAGGCGGGTCCTTCAAGTTGGTCAGCCAGCAAAGGAAGAGGTGGTCACTGACTACGTGGAAGGGATGGCCGTAGAGGTATGGGCAAAACTTCATAACTGCCCATACTACAGCAGGACATTCCTTTTCCGTTGTGAAATATTGGGACTCGGCTCAGAAAAACGTCCTACTTGCATATTCGATCACTCGCTCGGCTGAGTCTTGCCACTGGACGAGTATAGTGCCTAAACCTACGTCGCTGGCATCAGTGTGGATCATGATAGGAGCGTCCTCGTCAAAGTGAGCAAGCACAGGTTACAAGATATACACCGTAACACGGCACCGGGAGCACACCACATTCGGTTCACCACACTCCGCAACGCTAAGTGGGGCGTATATGACCCACCTCACGGGTATATTCAATAAATACTGGCGCCAAGATACGCTTCCCCAAGCTTGATGACACGCCGATATTTCGTTGATTCCCCAGCCGGCCAAACCAGTTCAGGTTCAAAACCTACGTCCCATACCCCTAACCTCCTGCATTGGCAAGCTGATGTAGCATGTACTCTTGTGACGTCTGCAGCCCTTCTTAGAACAGCAATCCTTCTTCGCGCATTCTCAATTCGGATACCGAGCTCATCTATCGGCCAAAGATGTACTGTTGCAGCTACGGGAGGAAGTACTTGGGCCTCCGTCTCGCGCCCGAACAAGAGCACTCATTGCTTTAGATTTGAAGGGGGCCTTCGGTCATGTTGAACACGACCTCATCCTTCACAATCAAGCCGAATCGCATTGTGGAACTTGAACTACATCTGCTCACTTCTTCGAGATCGTACGATCACTGCGGGAATGGGACCGCATCGGTCTGGTACAATCCACCTTACAGGACGTGGGACACTACAGGGCTCTGTTCTTTCCCCTACAATAATTAATATCGCACTGGCAGGGCTTCCCCGCTTGCTCGACCAGATCACCGATGTCGCCGATGCTATTTACGCAGATGACATCACTATCTGGTCAACACGGGGCTCTGATGGAGGCATCCAGGACCGACTGCAAAAAGTCGGTGCATATTGTCGTTAAGTACGCTAAAAAGGAGGCTTTCAATGTGCTCCTCAAAAATCAGAGCTCATCGCCATTCGCTCCGGAAGCGATAGCCCTCCTCCCCAATTATTGTACACGTGGATGGCATACCCATACCACATGTCTCTTGTGCCCGCATCCTTGGACTACATGTTCAAGCGGATGGCAAAGCTAACTACACCGCTGGCCTTTTATCTCGACAAGTCGACCAAATACTGTCCATAATCTGGCGAGTTTCAAATCGCCAATCAGGGCTCAAAGAAGACCTGCTGCGCTTGGTGGAGGCCTGCATGATCAGCCGGCTGGCATATCACTTGGCCCTTCCACAGTTGACTCGACTGGAACAACTACACATAGACGCCATGATCCGCAAAGCGACAAAGCTGGCCCATGGCGTTCCGAACTACACTTCCACACGTCTTCTTAAGTTGGGGACACACAACACACTAAGCGAGCAGCTCGAGGCAGATTAGGTCAGTCAGCGTCAACGCCTCCTACTCACCCCTACTGGCCGCAATCTCCTCTCACGCCTCGGATATCCCGTCCCACTGCTTGAGATTGAAACCCACCCCTCGCCCTTATCGCCTGCGATACGTAAAACACTAACTGTTCATCTCTTACCACGTTACATGCACTCCCAGCATGACAAGGGCCGACACGAATCCCGCGTACGATACCGCAGCCGTATGCTCGAAGACATCCCGGAATCGGATACTCTTTACACGGAAACAGCCCAAACTCGCGAAGGTTAAACATCGGAAGTGTTAGATCGCACCGATTCCCTGCAGGACTAGGCTACAATGCGTGGGACACATGCCACTCACGGTGAAATTCTTGGAGCCCGATACGCTATCCGTGTTCACAGTGAGGTCTACATATTAACAGACTCGCAACAGGCATGTCGGGCCTTCTTATCAGGACATGACATCTCAAGAGCGGCCCACCAAAATCTCAATAAAATTCTACTAACTGAGTCAAACAGCACTTTTTGCATCCACTTACTCTGGACTTTTG